AACATTTTTAAGGATGTTAAGAATATAAATTATGCATACCTTGTTACAAGATTCTTAAAAGTTCTTAGTCATAAATTACTAGTTGAGCTCTAATTATCAGGAACTACCCTTTCATATCATTGATACAAAATGTTAGCATTATGCAGGTGCCGGTTAGAGAACAAGGTCACTCTGATGAAGGATAAATTATTAACTTGAATTTAAGAAAATAAACATTATCACGAACCAATCAAAAACTTTCTCAAGTACCTTGCAATTTTAAGATTTTCAATTCCAATGAGAAGTATAAGCATCCCTTTCATTGTATGCCATTTAGTAGAACTAATTGATCATTGATATTCTCCTCACAATTTACCCATTTTGTTTTGATCTTTTTATTATTTCAATGGATTTACACATAACTTCAGCTAAGTCTTCATTAATATGGATAAATATCATGAAGTTGCTTGCCATTTGAAAATGGACAAGTGAAAATACTACTAACACCACAAAGACGATAAATTACAGAGTTATTATAGCGGTAATAACCCAACATGACAATGACACGTAGGAAGTTCTCAGTGTATAACAAAGGACCACCAAGTTTATAAAATTAGTGAGTAACATTAAATCATTATACCTGCCAGTGTCTCCACAGCCCAAAGGTCGTACCGGTTTAAAGTGATTGAGTCCAATTTTTTCTCCGGCTTCAGTGATCTGCATTGGATAAAAAAATGGTTTTTGTAAAGAACAATGCTGTGAGATGCATGATAAAATGTAACAAAATGTATGATGAACAAATATCTTGCTCTATTAGAAGTTATTCTCCATGTTGTCCTTCAAATTACAATCTCATATGAATTAGTGGGCGCATGCAATAATATGAAATATGAATATGCTCTGTGTAGTTGTTTCAACTGCATATTCAAATATGTAGTGCTTTCCAAAATCATGGGATGAAACAGAACTCTAGATTGCATGAAGATGCCAAACTATAAAGTTATAGTTTAAAAACATATTGTCCGGTAACTTTGAGTACTTAAAACAAGAAATTGAAGATTTTCCAGACTACTGCTTCTGCATCAAAAATATTTAAAATAAAATATAATGAACTTTTTCACGACAGAAAGCAACTGTGAGTTTTTGCAATTCCTGGACGTTGGAAAAACAGAATGGCTGCCGAACAAATGGAAGATACATGGGACAGAAGCATGACATAGCAAATGTAACTATATTTTTATTTAGTACACATCATCAAAAGATACACAATCAATACTTAATATTGACAAGTATGCTTCTATGCAGGACACATCAGAAGCTGCTTTGGACCTGTACTAAATTGGCCAAATCTTTTCACACCCGAACAGAATGATGGAGTATGAAATACAGTACGAAACTGATTTTATTAAATTCTATTACTTTTTTCTTATTTTATTTTATTTTATTTCTTGCACTTTAAATAAAGGACGTTTACGTCCTTACGCAGGTGTTAGGGTTTTCCTGTATAAACACGTCTCACGTTCCAAACAAAACCAAAAGTTGCAATAGTTATGCTTCACTATAAATAAGAAAAAAAAATGAAGTAAAAAAACCACAAAGGCTTCGAAAGAAAGTAGAGGTCATATTAAATTTGTAAAGGATCAGTTTTCTGATTCTCTGCTCCTAATATATGCAACTTCTCAGTAAGACAAAAATGCAACATTCAATTTCTATGCTAGAAGAAGTGTCGTGATCTTAGCAGAAATCACCGTGAACTTCAATCTTCAAATGTCTAAAAAGAAACTGAAATTTTGAATATTTGCAGGTTGCAATTCTGACATAAGATTCTCAATTACCCTTGGTGCCAAAATTGATGAAACACAACATTTCTCCAAGTAGATCAAATAATGTAGCATGATTAATTTAGAAATGTAATAATTACATCGTGCGAAATGTGATTAAACTATTAACAATATGCAAACTTCTCAAGATTATACCTTTCTTATTGCTGCCCAAGAAGTACTGTCTCGTTTGTGAGGCCTTGGGAATACAGCTTGAGAGTGCAAAGCCCACAAGTCTTCTGGTGTCTGAAAGTGGCACAGCATAAAGTTGCTTTAGTGACTACTCAAATAAGCACTCACACTTCTACTGTAATCTATGCCTAGCTTTTTCTTCTATGCACTTCACAAGGATTCGATTAATTTGATTTTAGTGAAAAATCACGTTAATAGTTTATTTGAATTATAGATAGAGAGAGGAATACCTTACCAGGTTGGCATCAGGAAGTTCTCGAACAGCCTCATCAACATTTTCTGCTGTAGCTTTGACCTGCCAAAGATAAATATTCAACTGATAATTAGACATCTTGAACATTAAGTTTAGGTAGAAATATGGTGACAAACATGGGAAGATTTGAAATGAGAATTTCAAATAACAGGCTATTCAGTAGACTTCAAAATTAAGGATTTTAGTTTCTGACAAGGTATTTTAATATAATCTAAAATTAGGCATTTTGATGTATATAAAACTCTTTGGTAGTCAGTAGGAGCAGAAGCATTTCACATAGATAAATCCCACAATAGCTATCTTCGCTATTGTAATTTTATGTATAATAGTATACTCCTGGTAAAGTAATATTTGATGTCAAATTGGAAGTTTATTTCATCCGGAGGAACAAAAAATGGTTAAAGTATCCCCAAACCTGAGAATCCTAAGCGCCTAATAAAAATTCGAACTGCCCTACCTTTGTGTCTTAAAAATTTTATGCCGTGCACTGGAGTACCAGCATCATTCTATTAGCTCAGCGTCCCTAAACGGAGAAAATATGGCTAGAGACAAACCCTGGACCTATGAAACCTTTGTGCCCAATAGAAACTCAGACTACCCATAGAATGTCTTAAACTTCTATGGCCTACAACTATATATAAGTATCAAAGTAGTAGCTCCATGTTCCCTTTAGAAAACTATTACGAAACTTGGTAATGAGACAAAAGTAGTGACAAACAATTCTCGAAAACCATTACTTCCATTTCTGGCTTGTATTTGAATTTAAAATTCATGTGACATAGGAATCACAGAAGTAGTAACAGGCACAGGAAACTCACTCATTTTCTGTGCAAAAGATGTTGGAAAGTTTCCTATTTCTCTAAGAGAATCGCGGCTGTAAATGTGTGAATTTCCTAGGATATTTAGCCCCCGTTTGACACCCATTTTCTTCACACTCTTTATCATTTTTTTATGTTTCTTCATTCCAACCACATATTCTATCAATAAAATAATACTACACATAAACCCAAAAATTCTCATTACTTTTTAACCACACATTCTTCCATCAATCACTATTCCAGAATTTATTTTTTGTCAAAAATGGGTGTCAAACAGGGGCTATATGTTCAAAATAAATTCAAAAATAACACTANATTAAGCCACTGTTTGACACCCATTTTTTTCTCATTCTCATTCTCATTTTTTTCTCTTTCTTCATTTCAACCACACATTCTATCAATAAAATAATACTACACATAAACCCATAAAATTCTCATTACTTTTTAACCACAAATTCTTCCATCAATTAATATTCCAGAATTTATTTTTTCTCCAAAATGGGTGTCAAACGGGAGCTTAGTTTCCTTAGAAGTAAGCATTTTTTTTATTTTTTCCTTTCCTTTCCTTTTATTTATTCTTTTCTTCTATTCTTCTGTTCTAACTCTATTTGTACATACATGTACCTATGTTATGATCAATGAGAATTATTTCCACAAGAGGCTCTCTCATTCTAGATGGTATCAGAGCTAGGTTTGGCTTGTGACCTTTGTAAACCCTGCTTTCCCTTGGCGGGAAAGGGTTTTCTTCCTTATTCAAACTCTGCCCTTCTCTTCTGTTGTTGTATCCATGGCTGAAATTCCAAACAAAGCTCAAGTCGAAACCAAATCTGAAACCAGACCTACCCATTATGAACCATACTCCCCCTCAGCAACAAAACCTGGTGGTTGCTCCATGTACACTTCTTCCTGAAGATCACCATGAAAGAATGCATTCTTAATATCTAACTGATGTAGAGGCCAATTATGTGTGGTCACCATAGAAATAAATAATCGAATAGAAGTAAGTTTAGCAACCGGAGAAAAGGTGTCGAAGTAATCAACTCCATATGTTTGAGCATAGCCTTTAGCCACAAGTCGTTAATCGAGCAAAAGATCCATCAGGATTGACTTTAATTGCAAACACTCATTTACATCCAATAGCCCTTTTACCTGCAGGCAAGTGTACCAGGGTCCAAGTACCATGGTCATCTAAAGCATTCATCTCTTCAATCATAGTATTACGCCATCCAGGATGAGACCGAGCTTCATGAACAGTCTTAGTAAGTGTGATAGAATCAAGAGAGGCAATAAAAGAACAAGAGGACGGGAATAAATGGGTATATGACAGAAAAGAAGATACGGGGATAAGTACATTGACATTTACCTTTGCGAAGAGCAATAGGAAGATCATCACTAGAACTGGGAGCCGGTGCAGGACATGAAGCAGGAGGCGTGGGAATAGGAATAGGAATAGGAATAGGAACCGGATCAGGAGAAGGAGGTTGTTGGCGGCAAGAATAAACCTATTGTATAGGATGCTTAACAGGAGCAGAGGACGGAAGATCAAAACTAGGGGATGTGAAAGTATAAATTAATAAATCATCCCCCCCGACTGATATAACTTGAAGACGAAGCAAATGGTGTTTGTTCTAAAAATGTAACATCAGTTGACACAAGGTACCCGTTAAGATTGGGACAGTAACATCGATACCCCTTTTGCACATGAGAATAGCCAAAAAAGACGCACTTTAAAGATTTGGGATCAAGTTTGGTAACATGAGGTCGAACATCCCGAACAAAACA